AAAGGAGACAGGGTTAAGAGGTGCAAATTGCCGGTTGTAAAAGCAGTCACGGGAATGGAAAGTACAGCATAAGGAATATCGTCAATACTACTGTAATAACTATAGGGGGTACCAGGTGGGTACTAGACTCATCGGGGCGACCACTTGGTAAGTTATATAAATCACTATGTTGTACACCTGAAATTACTATAATACTATATGTCAACTATAACAGAAAAATAAAAATTTATTTTAAAGAACTGTGCTCATCACCTTTTATCCCCAAAGCTTAAAACTTTACAAAACAATCAAATTTAATAATTCAAGGAAAAGAGAGATAAGCCTCACCCTGAAACATTATCAAGATTATCAAGGAATCAAGCTCACCTGCACAACAGCCCATACCAACAAGTGATTCAATAACCTTCAAAATATCCGAGTGCCAAATTTCTTCCATAAAACAGACTCATTAAACAAACTGTCCAGTTATTCTGCTGGTATTTTAACTCAGCCCATTTTTTGATCCATATGAAATTTTCAGTGACTTCTATCTCAACAGTTTCCTATTTTCTGTTCTGGAAGATGGCCCGTATGATATTTACTTAGCCTATAATCTTATCCCTGAGTGGTTAGTGAAATGAATTTCTAATACTCCTGAAATCATCAGGATATTTTTTTTCAATTTCACTCATTTCATTTTTTTTTTAAGATTTTATTTATTTATTTTTAGACAGAGGGGAAGGGAGGGAAAAAGAGAGAGAAACATCAGTGTGTGGTTGCCTTTCATGTGCCCCCCCACTGGGGACCTGACCAGGCCCACAACCCAGGCATGTGCCCTGGCTGGGAATCGAATCGGCGACCCCCTTCAGTCCACAGGCCAGCACTCAATCCACTGAGCCACACCAGCCAGGGCCATCTCACAGGCTTCCTTTAAATATTTTTTCTGGGATAGCAGTAATGGTGATTTAAAATTACCTACTGATGGTCATCCCAGTATTTAATTCTTTGAAGGACCTAGTCATCTGAACTTTAAGATAAATGTCTACATTGTACAGATTCCAAAAATCATTTTTTGGAAAAGCCCAAGTATCCTGCTTCAGTAACTTTTAATTCTGCTAATTTAATCAATACATATGAGACCAAAGCCAGGCACTAACGCGCTAACTGTCAGACACTAAACAGGAGAGGAAGAGATCAGACACTTGATCCACAGAGCCAAGCCCACCCTCAGAGGCCTGCCCAATGTGCTGTTCCTGCAGGTTCACATGCTGCTCCATGACTTCAGCCTCTCAAAAAACCTGTCAGGGCGCTGGTTCTCTCCTACAGGTTCTTCCAATAAAATGCAGACCGAAGCCCAGGCCAGGTAGCTCAGTTAGCACGCTGTCCTGATACACCAAGGTTGCGGGTTCTACCCTCAGTCAGGGCACATATAAGAATTAACCAATAAATGCATAAATAAGTGAAACTCAAAAACTGATGTTTCTCTCTCAAATTATAAAAAAATTTATTTTAAAAAATTGCAGGATGTTGCAATTTTATTTTAAAAAATTGCAGGCTGGTATGGCTCAGTGGACTAAGTGCTGGCTTGCGAACCAAAGGGTCACCAGATTGATTCCCCATCAGCAGGCCAGGTCCCCAGTTGGGGGCACGCAAGAGGCAACCACACACTGACGTTTCTCTCCTTCTCTTTCTCCCTCCTTAAAAATAAATAAATAAATAATAAAATCTTCTTTAAAAGATACAGAATGCCGGACAATCTTTTTCTACATCCCACCTCTTATTTCTTGTTTTTTTGTGTTTAACAACCTGCATTAGTAGCTTGGGAAAAAGAGAAAGCTCTTCAGCTTAATGTCTAAATAGCTGAGGAATTTTTTTTCCAGCTCCATTTAAGTCAGCAAGTCTTTGAAAACATCTACTTAAAAAAAAAAAAAAAAAGGCAAAATTAGCCCTGGCTGGTGTTGCTCAGTGGATTGAGCACCAGCCTGCAAGCCAAAGGTCACTGGTTCAACTCCCAGTCAGAGCACATGCCTAGGTTGCCAGCCAGATCCCCAGTGGGGGGCGTGTAAGAGGCAACTGATCAATGTATCCCTCCCGCATTGCTGTTTCTCTCCCTCTTCCTCCCTCCCTTCCCCTCTCTAAAAATAAATATTTTTTTAAAAAAATGAAAATACTGTCCATTACTACAGATACTAGAGTATCTGGTTCCATCCCACTAGCACTTATTTAAAGTTAAATAATTCAAATGACCATGCCAGAGGCTAGGAAGTATTTTATCTATCATTCTTAGTCATACTGGGAAAGGTTTTATAATTCCCACACTAAAAATAAGACATGTAACTGTGTAATCTACCTATGAGGCTAAACGACTCCACGCTAACTACAAAGTTGGAGAAAACAAGAATGAATAGTTTTCAGGTGCTGGACAAGAGGCAGGGCAAGACCATGACCTCCAGAAGGGGAATTCACAAGCTGAGCCTGTGGTCACCACGGCTCTCTGCCTAGGTCCAATTTCCCAACTGGGGCTCAGACAGGCCGGGGCCCAAAGAGATCACAGTGGTCCTGCAGAGCAAACACCAGAGTAGCTGGAAATCTGCAAGGCAGAGCCCTAGAGAAAAAGGAACCACAGGACACGGATGAGTATGGTCTCCCACGTATCCTTGAGACCTTGACTTGAGAGCTGAGCTACATGTACAGGTGAGGTAGCATAAGACTACCTGAGGCTTAACAGAGAGTGGCAGCTTCAGGGCTGAGATGACCAGAGATGCCAGAGGTCCAGCAAAATTAGAGGATGCTGGGGGTCCAAGGCAGCCACAGTGCAAAGACCTTAACACCTCAATAACATCCCAGACATCCCCCTGAAGAAGGACAATTTCTTAGAGTAAGGGCTATTCTAGACTCGTTCCAACACATCCTAAATTCAGTCTCTCCCCTAACATCTGGAGCTTCCCACAGATCCTCTCTACTACATCAAAAAACCAAGATTAGCCAGCAACTGAACTGAATTATTGCCAACTACAATAAAAATGTCAATACTCGTCAAAGAGAAATAACAGAATGCACAGTCCCTACAGTTCACACACAGTGTGCACTGTACACTCAAAAACTGCTAGACATGCAAAGAAGCAGGACAATGTAACCCCCAGTCAACAGAAATCAACTTTTATAATGTCTAAATGTTGTACGTAACAAACTTTAAAGCAGCCATAATAAATATTTTCAAATAACAAAAGGAAAATATGGTCTTAAAAATGTACGCAGGGAATCTGCAGAGAAGTGAAATTTATCAAGAACCAAATGGAAATTCTATAACTGAAACTACAACAACAGAAATTTTAAAATGCAAAAACTAAATATATATTAACTTAATTTTAAAAATAACATCCCAACAGATTGGAGATGGCAGAAAAATAGTCAATGAACCTGAAAGCAGATCACTAGAAATTAGCCAATCTAAAAAACAAAAAGGAAAAAACAATGAAAAAAGAACCAAGCCTAAGAGACCTAATGAACAATATAATTGTAGTTTGTGAGGCCCAGAAGAGAGAAACTGCTTGACCAAGGTCACAGAAGTTCTAAGTAATCAGGCCAAAACTGATATCCAGCTCTCACTCCCAGTCACATACCACTGATTGCATAGAGAAAAATTCACAGCAAAAGTCTGAGTGCATTCTGAGAGCGCCGTATTTTGCCATGTATAATGCACACTTTTTTGCCCGTATATTTGAGGGAAAAATAAGGATGTGCACTATACATGGGTAGTACTAATCCCAATTCTATATAAATGTTTTAAATTTATTTATGCTTATGTGTTAAAAGTGTAACTCTGGAAAGTAATAACGAGCCCCAGCTGGTGTGGCTCAGGGGACTGAGCGTAGGCCTGACTCCTAGTCAGGGCACAGGCCTGGGGTGTGGGCCAGGTCCCCAGGTGGGCGCGTGTGAGAGGCAACTGATCAATAATCGATCGCTGTATCTCTCACATATCGACGTTTCTCTCCCTCTTTCCCCTCTCTAAAAATAAATAATTAAAAAAAAACGAAAAAAGAAAGCAATAATGATATCCATGTGCAAAACAATACTCTGGAATACAATAATCAGTTTTGTTTCTAAATATAAATAAATAAAAAATTGGCCTTGGCTGGCGTGGCTCAGTGGATTGAGCACCAGACTGCGAATCAAAGGGCCGCTGATTCAGTTCCCAGTCAGGGCCCACGCCTGGGTTGCAGGCCAGGTCCTGGGAGCGGGGCCGGGGCGGGGGCGGTGGAGGGGTGAGAAACAACCACACATTAATGTTTCTCTCCCTTTCTTTCTCCCTCCCTTCCCCTCTGTCTAAAAATAAATAAATAAAACAATTTTAAAAAATTAAAGCATAAGTTTTTTTTCCTGAAAGCCTGGGCCAAAAACATGAGTGCACATTATACACCCCAAAATACAGTATATGCCTAAAGAGTTACCACATTTAAAAATTAAGAAATGGCCCTGGCTAGTGTGGCTCAATGGACTGAGTGTCAGTCCGAACCAAAAGGTCTCCAGTTTGATTCCCAGTCAGGGCACATGCCTGGGTTATGTGCTGCAACCAGCTGGCAACCAGTCAACATCTCTCTCACACATTGATGTTTCTCTTCCTCTCTTTCTCCCTTCTTTCCCCTCTCTCTAAAAACAATTTTTTTTTTTATTTTAAAATGTTAAACAACCAAAACCAAAATAACTATCAACAGTATGAAGTTGAACAACACTGTGTACAAACATTTAAGTTTCAATTTTAAAATACAATAAATTACATTAACAGAAATAACATCTTTGGAGTTACTACTGAAAAGATTGGCAGAGATGCAACAGGAAAGCTCATGAGAGTATTTACCTCAAAATGAAAAGCATAAAATATAAAGATCATACCTCAAAATTTTCACTGACTTCTTGCATCATTTTTAACTTTGTTTCATCAGCTGTAAAATGACAACACAAATCATAAGGTAATGGAAATTATGTTAAGAATGTTCCAAAAATTACTAGATTTAATAAGAGAAGCAATCAGATCTTATCAGTTTGACTGTCATGGTCCAACAGAAGGCACGTAACTAGCTCCCTACAACCAGTCACACACACTCATACTCCCAGACATAGGTGTGCATGCACAGACCAGGACAGATAAACACACGCGCGCGCACACGCACACACACGTGCCTCTTCGGGGCTCCAGCCAGTAATGCTCATCACTTTGCTTCTCCACAAGGCAGAGAAAGAGGAAATTAGGATAAAAGTCAATGTTATTGTTTATCTCTATGTGTACATTTCCTGAACTGAGATGCATGAATCTCATTAATGCATTTCTTAATGACAAAAAGTTATCAACTCACGGGTATTTACATCAGTGAGAGCTGCCACAAACTGAAGGTATTTTTTCATCAATGTGGTTTGGTCAACCGCGGTGGACCCTTGTGTTGCAACAAATGCCATTTTTCTTTTGATCTAGTTTACTTCTCAAGAGAAAAGTATCAGGTCCATGAGTTCACCCCGCCTATGAAAAGAAACATATAAATTAGCCAGTTTATTAAGGGCATAGGCTCACCATCTCTACAAAAATCCTACCTAATTGCCTGCATTTATCTAAATATTTTCACATTAATCCAGAATACACTATTCCCTCTGCTTAAAAAAAAAAAGTACCTAAATCCATTTTACCTATTAATTTCTTAATATGATTTTTCTAGACAGACATTTTTCTTTCCTTCCATATTTCCTTCTTTCACTAGGCCAGGGGTCGACAACATTCTATATATTCTCTATAAAGAGCCAGATAGTAAATATTTTAGGCTTTGTGGCCATGAAGTCTGCCACAACTACTCAGCCACAGACACCATATAAATGAACAACAGTAGCTATGATCCAATATAACTTTATTTCTGTACATTGAAATTTCAACTTCATGTAATTCTCACATGTTTTGAAGCATTTTTCTTTTGACTTTTTCCCAACCATTTAAAACATCCAGAAACCATTTTTAAGCTCATGGGGTGTATAAAAAGAGGCATCAGGCTGCATTTGATCAGCTGGCTGTAGTTTAGCCAATTCTGCCCTGTCACCTGTTCTCAAACTTCAATGTGCATTAAATCACCAGGTGCCGAAGATGGATTCCCAAGCATAACCCAGAGACAGTGGCTCAGCGAGGACCCCAGGAAGCTGCAAATAGTTTACAGCTGGAATACAGCAGGCATTCAAAAAATGCACATTGACGAAATGAATAAATGCTCTAAAATAGCATCTCAGAGAGTCAGAAACAGGCTGCTGACCACACTCAGAAATGCCACTTCAGACTGGAAAATAGAGGGAAACTTAGATACTATTTAAAAAACAGTCACAAGTGTCTGGGAAACCTGGGAAAATTGTTTAGCCATCGTCCTTTTATCCACCTAACTTCAGTCGGGCTTAACAAGCGGTTTCCTGACTTGACTTCCTTTCTTCAACAGACATACCACTAACTCTTCTGCAGACCTTTCAAAAGCTTTGCCCTACTGGCCGTAGTGTTTTGCAGCTCACACTTCTGCCCCCAGCGACAGGGACACCCTGACACCACAAAGCCCCTTCTGGCCACCCTCCCAGAACCCGAAAAGCGCTGCTCCGATGCAGAGGGGACACCCAGAGCTGCTCCATCCTACCACTGCCCACCACAAGTCCGTTCCACTGGCTGAAGACGGGAAAAGACCATAAAAAAGGCCAAAGGCAGGGACTGTGTCAACTCTGCTGAATGATGACCAAACTACTGCTTCCTTTTTCGGGTCACACTCCCTCCTCCAAACGCAAAAGGCCCTACACCCCTATCGCCATTCCGGACACACAAGACTCAGGGTCACGGCCTCTCCCTGCCTAAGAAATTTCTCGTGGCCCCCAAACTTATTAACGGCTCGGACCCCCGTTACCACCGGATTCGTCAACTCTTCTATTTCCCGGGGCCCCCGAGGGGACTGGACTCTGCTTTCCGGCCCTGAATGGATGCGGGAGGGGGGCGGGGTTCCTAAGGTGTGAAAACGTCCCATCCCGCCTCTTTGGGAGTAGCTCGAAAACCCCGGAGGCCGAAGGTCCAGGCCTGGCTTCCATGGAGCCCCTGCGTCGGGAACCAGGTGGAGAGGCCCGAGCCTGCGCCGCACCCGCACTCGGGCAAATGGCCCCCGCCGCCCGCCGCCGCCGGACCCTGAGGCGGCGCCGCCGGGCCAGAGGGGGCGCTGTCCTCCCCAGTACCTTCGCTCTTCACGCTGGGCCAGGCGAGCCAGGTATCTGCGTAGAGGCCAGGAGGGGCCAGGCTGAGCGGGGCACCTCGAGGGGAACGGTGCCCAAATTCCACGCTCTATCTTCCCGGGCTCCAACGGCCCCCCGCTTCGCTCCTTTTGTCACCGTCCCCAGACCCCGAGCGCCCGCCTCCCGGGCCGTGCTACGGAAAGCGCCGAGGACCAATATCCGCGCCGCTAATCCCCCGCCTCCCGTAACTCGAGCTCGAACAGACAAAACAGCGTAGGTTGCGGCCAGGGCTGGGCCCAGCGAAAGACTGAGGGCCGGGACACAGGTAGGCCTCCCTCTGCCACTCCACGGAGCCGCCGCGCCGCAGAGATCTCCCCACGCCTGGACCGCGTTGCACCCGTGGTAGCCTCCGCACGCGCTTCCCCGGGCCGTTCCGCTCCTCTCCCACACTTACCGGGAATTCGGCGGCCGGCCTCCTGCAGCTCCGACCTGCGACCACCGACGAAGCACAGGCCTCGGCAGAACCGCCGCACGCAGTCCCGCCTCCACTTTAAGTAGCTACTGCCTCCGCGGGAGAAATAGGCCCAGGCGCACCGCCCCCAAATGGGTGCGGCCTGGGCTGGCAGCCGGAGCGGGAGGGGCTGTGCGGCACCGGTGGACCCTTCCGGCCCTTAAAACCTCGTCTGCGTGGGCGGAGTCGCCGCAGGAATGGTGCTGCAGGCAGTTACCTACCACGTCTGTTGCCTTGGCCTTCTTCTGCCCTAAATCTACTCGCCGGAGCCAGACTCCGCGAGGGTGCGGGAATGACGCTCGGCAGCTGCTTCCCGCGTGGGCACCCGATGGCGGTGGTCTGTGTTGGGAAGAGGCCACCCCTGAAATGAATATTGCAGGCAAGGCGGGGTTTTCTCCCCCGATGGAAAAGAGGGTCTTTGGGTAGTGGAAGGCTAGAGACAGACCGATACCCTGTAAGCAAGGGAAAACCCTCGTGTTCTGCCTGGAGATAAACGACTCGGTCATTTGTTTTGGAGCTGAATCACCCCGAGGATGGACGCCAGAGGACAGCTTTCTGTCCCCTCTGGCAGATGCCTCAGCCCAGGCCAAGGCAATGAGACTGGGGCTAGTAGGGCAGGACGCCCTGGTTCCCAGGTGTAAAGGCGTAGGCTGGACCTAAAGCCCCGGAAAGAGAGTGCTCTAGAACAATGGAAACCTTTCAGGAAAAGATCCAACACAAGAAACGCAAAAACCAATAGTACCAATAGGTAAGCGGGTGCTGTAGGAACTGCAAACCACAATAGTAATGGCGAGGGGGATGAAATAGGTGAGGACTTGTGACGCTAGAGGGGGCCGGAATGAGAAATGGACCAGAGAAGTGGCGGAGGCGGAGACTGGCGTGAGGGGTGAACCTGATTGGAGGAGGAAAACTGGCCTGAGATAGGGTGGAGGTTAACACCAGAAATCCTGCCTCGACTCACCCCTCCCGCCTTGGCCGCCCCCTAGATCGCCCCCTGCTGTTCTGAGATAACGGGTGGAGGAAGGGCCCAAAGCTGGATGGGATGTCCGCTGTTGTTCCCGCCACTCACTACCTGCGTTATCTCTTCCGCAGGCTGACTGGGCACGGCGGTCGCCCTCACCTACGGCCTCTGTTCCCTCCACCTGGAACAGAGGAGGCGACCCCAGCTTCTAATGCGCACCGAGATCGCCACCCAGGGCTTCACGGTCGCAGAAAACTTGCAACTGCCTACATTCGCTCTGATGACTAGAACCTGATAGCTTAAAGCTCCGCGGACACGTTCCCAGGCCGAGGAGCAACCGCTGGTCCTGCCACCAGGCTTATTCCCTCATCTCCCCTGACAAGCCCCTGTGTCAGTAGGGGAGGAAGTGGCCAATAAAGTGCCTGATTCTCCCCCCCCCCCGCCCCCCGCCCCCCGCCAGGAATCTTAGGTTCGATTGTTTGGGTGTTGCATACTTCTGCCGCACCTTCTCAACTCCCTACTTAATAAACTCTGATCCACGTGTAGTTTGATGACTTCGTTCTCAAGCCTCACCCCCAAGGTTCCTGGTCTTTGGTTTTAGGTATAAACAGACTAAAGACTGCAGAGGCCCTTAGAAATGATGTGATCTAGTGATTCCCAAACTTTCCTGCAGCTGGGGTGCTTGTTAAAGGTAGATTCCCTAGGATGATACTATTCGAGAGGGGGAAAGGGATCTTTCCAGCAATTTCCAAGCTTTCAATAGAAAAGCCTTCCTTAAGACGAGGCCTGCGGGGGTCCTGTCAGAGACGGGGGTCAGCCCCCCACTGCTTCTGCTCCTCACAGCCCTCCCACCTAAGGCACCGAAGGCTCCACTAACCTGGACGGTCCAGTTGTGGTTCTTGCCGCGTTTAATGGAACGGGAAATGGGCTCGCGATGCAGCCTGGTGTAGTGGGAGGGGCACAGTTCTGGAGCCTGTTAGTGGTTTGTGTACCTAGTGTCTCAAGGAAGAAAGGAGGCCGCGGCCCTGAGCAAACTCTAGGAGACAGGCAACCTGTGACTTGTGCATCATGTGCACTGTCAAACAGGTGTTCCTGGCCTGTGGTTGCAGTCACCTCTGAAATGTTGATTCGGACCTAGGTTCCTTTCATGTGTGACTCCATTAATGTCAACACCACTGCGAGTGGCCAGAAGGGAAAAGGGGATGAAGAAGACACATCCACTTCCTGAGCACCCAGACCCAGTCCAGGTTTCTAAATGGAGAAGTGTATGACCAGGGCCAGCTACAGTCTGCCCCCTAATGGCCTCTCAGCAAAAGGGAAAGATAACAAGTATAGAGCAGTGCATTGTAGTGACCCTTGTCTCAAGGCTAAAGGATGTAGATTGATAAGGACTGTGGCACAACTAAGGAGGATGGATACAGTTTAAAAATTTTTTATTGAACTTAGAGGAAGGGAGCTAGAAAAACATCATGTTGTTCCACTTATTTATGCATTCACTGGTTACTTCTTGCATGTGCCCTGAC